TTATGCTCCTCAGTTTTATGGTCATAATGCACTTTCAAGGCTAGAACGTCTTGAAAGTGCATTATGACCAAGTAGGCAACCGCAGAGGCTGTACTACATCCAAAGGTAAAAACCGGCACTGGCAAGAAAAACGCAGGGCGGCCAGGTTTTACCATAGGCGCCTAATAGGCCCATGCCGGCCTACGTCACCCGTGTCATCGCGACGATGCCATTAAGCTCTCTTGCCCGCCGTTTTCTGATCGCTCTCTCTCCTCCTTCTCAGTTCATCGTCGCCTTTTACAAATCACAATTGATCTTTATCATCCGTTCATGCTCGTCCGGTGATCACGATTGCAGTAACGAGAGCCTTATCACGCGATTTTTCAAGCTTTCTCCTTCTTAAGTAAATCAATTAGCACATAGGATTGTTTCTGAACTGTATTACTTACGACCCGCAGTCGCGGAAATTGCCTTCAAAGATAGTTCCCGAGTGATCCGCGAAATGCCCAGGTGCATTTGGCATGTAAGTCCGCGCTTTCACAGAGTTGAACACTTTCTTTAGTTGAAAGAGCGAAAAAAGCGGCGCAGAAGCTTGGTTCTTGTACACTCTGTCTCAAACAACGATTTGGCAGCATTTCCATCTCACAAGAAGATGAGTTTGGATGACTAAATCCGACACTGATGCAATAAATTGATGCGGAAGCTCCTCTTACATGCTTACCGTAGTCCTAAATTAAGCATTTTTCAAGAGCTATTTTCTGTCCCAAAGTTTTTGTTTCTCATATTTTACTGGTATTGAATGGCACTTACTACAGCAAGTTCAGAGAATTCGTACAGTGCGGCTGTGCGATTGTCAGGCAGTGGTCTGTATATGCTGTTCTTGTAGTTCCTCTTTGTAATTTTCTTCGCTGGGGTGCCACTTATTAGCTGATGGTTCATGAGTAAACACCCACTACCCGTAATATTTGATCGCGACAATTGTATTAAAACACTAGCAGCCAGCGATAATGGATACTCGTTTGTGGCTGCGTCCCCGTCTGTAGCACTGGAGCATCGTTACAATGGTAGCGCGACGTGCCGCGTCGTGGCGCATCATAGCGAAGTCTGCAATTTGTCCAACAAGCACCGTGATCGCTGGATACATTGTGAGAAGCTGGAGTAGCATGCAGTACAACTAATATTTGTAATGAAATCCATGAAAAGCAAAGGGTTAGACAAGCTTATCGTATCAAATGCAATTGTAGTCGCCGAAGATAGAAAAGAGCTCTTCCAAAAAGGAGCTCTTCCAAACTCATGCAAACTCACGTAGGCAACACTTCTCAAAAAGTGGTATAAATTGTAATGGTCATTTATCCATTGCTGGCTCATATTCCTTACTACAACTATACCACTCCCATAAAGCATATATATGCTCCTGAAAAGTTTTTTAAAACTGTTGAATCCACTACTGAAATTCGAGTGTACTTTTCTGACCAACATACATTTGTAGCATGGTGAGAACAGCTGCAATTCGTGTAGTGACGATGTTTTCTCGCTTTTGGTATTTAGAAGAAAGTGTGTTCAAGCTGAAAAATGGCATACTGAAGAGGCTTGATGAGGAATTGTTGGCTTGAAACTCGTTTTTTTTGCAGGAAAAAAAAGCTAAGAGGCAGTGCACATCCATTTTAGGGGTCCTCACCGAGAGGGAGTGGCATTTGAGCGCTGGATTGGGTGACAGAAACGCATAACAAGGATGAAACCCATTTTTGTGATCCTTATACGGATCCTGCAACATGCAACAAAGCGTTTCTAAAAAGCGCGCCATCACCGGAATAACCTCCCTTGTCAGGTTTATGTTGAAGGTTATGCGACTGTCTTGCGATCCCAGATGTTTCATGTCTACGCTGCATCACTGGACAACAAAGGTGACAAAGAAAACCACAAGTTAGCCAATATGACAATATAAACTAACCTCAAACGCGGTCTCTTGTTGTAGGCGACCAAAGACAGCATAATAACATTGCCAAACAGACATAGGCCGAAGCATGTTATAAGAAAGACGTTGTAACCTATGAACGCTTTCGGTGGGACCGCTACGAATGTAAACGCAGCCTCATCAAATGCGTCTATCGAGTAAATCAGCCATTCAGAAATGCCTGGTAACAGTACCTGAAAATCGCTCGAGTAGCGTAAAATTGCAATTTTTTTATTTTGCGATTTTTACCGCAGCAAGAAAGAGGATCAGTCCGCAGCATCGGCTTTTTTGCTCATATGTCCGCACACAGCATGTGGCAACCGTTCGTTCGCAGCACACAGCCAACTGTAAAAACACCTGAAATGTCCTTATCGGATAAAACGTCTCAAATGGAGGTCTGCTGCTTCTGCAACGTCTGAAGCACGCACGCTATATTGTTATGGTAAGATCAGTCAGCCAGTTATTCGTGATAATGATATAATTTAATGCATATTGCTTGAAACTGACCTGCGTGAATATGGAGTAAACGAGCAGTAAGTGGGCTATCACATATGGAGTTTTCGGAATGAACAAATCACAATTCGTTGCAGTGAAACCAAGAAATATTTGAAAGCACTGAATTGTTGGTAAAATGCAATTGTTATTGTAGTTCATTGGCATTTTTCTCGTAGTGATATTCTACTTCTTTATCAAAGTGTCAAAAAATGCGCAACTTCGTACTTCACTTTGATCCAGGTGGGGCACTCACATATACAGGGGGGCCAAAAAAAAGTCATTTTGCCTCCATGACTTTCAAGGCGCTATAAGTTACACTTTATTAAATTTTTATCGGACATTTTTACTACCATATTAAAGAGCACATAAATACTATAATGATACTCCGCCACAGCCTTCTGGAGGAGCGCCATCGAGAGATTCGGCCGCGCGAAAGTGAGTGGGTACCGGAGTTGAGCGAGATCGTTGATTTCTCCGCCACTGTAGACCACCCTGTTGAGCTCCGCCCGAACCGAGTAATTGAGGGGGTTTAGTTCAGGACCCCGCTTAAATACTCCATCTTTTCCAGGTACTCAACGTTCTTCCATTCCAAG